TTGGTATAATAATAAAAAAAAAGGAGAAAAAGAAAATTGAAGCGAGTGCTTGCTTGCTCGTGAACTAAATAATTGTTCTWGCCAAAAAGCTTTGAATGGGAAGAGAGAGGAGAGAGAGGATGTCAGAGAGAGGATTGGAAGGGGAAGTTGATTGACATAGAATCATGTAATGTATATATCTGTTGTACAGTGAAACAAGAAAGCGATGTTATCATGTGGGCAAACCCCAATYGAACAAATTGACCTTTCTATCTCTATTTCATTTATTTCTTTTTCTGGATAACAAATATCAAATTACATCTTTCTTAGACCTACAACACTACATCAGTGTTTATATTACATAGTCCTCATAACTGCAATTTTCTTACATATAAAAACTTCCCATATATTGCTAATCAATAAATGCATACATAACAAGTTGTGGAAGGTTCACCATAATCTCACAGAAAGTAAATCAAATRTCAAATTAAATTAATTTCACCATCTTATTAAAAAAAGAAAAGAACTGATCAGAGGAAAAGACAACAATTGAATGGGTTTCGAAAGAAATAAACTTATTTGGAAGAGGCATGAAATGGGGTTGGTAATAATACAATTAAAAGGAAAGTGAAAAAGCCTAAAGAGAAGAAGGGAAAAGGCAGCAGTGAAGAAATAAGAAAAGGAATCTTTTTTAATTTGGTGAAGGATGAAGTATGAAGGCAACAACACAAAATGAAGAAAGTAAATATGACTGAAACTTTTGGGAATCGAGCAGTTAATGTCACTATCTGCTGCCAGCAATGTCTTTTCCTCTAATGGAAGCTTTTGCGTCCTCCTCTGTCCATCAACCATCTTTCGTTAGAAAAAAGCTAATAATTTTTTTTACCCCATCGGTCTCATCACAGAGAGTAAAAACAACGTTAATTTATGCTAAATTAAACAGGTTTCTTTTTGTATACTGTTGAAGCCTGAAGGAGAAGGACATTATCATTCCTGATCAGTTCAGAATGGTGCCAAGGCCAGCAGAGTTTGTCACGTGATTCAGTCAAAATTTGGGTATGTTTTTTGGCGTACTTTTTCAAGGAAAAATATTACTCTTCACATTCACATTTGTTGGATTTATTGGGTTTGTAAGATGAATTAAATAAAATCYTACCGAATGAGATGATCATGGATATATAATGAARTCTTTTTGGTGAAATAAAAATAAAGTTGTTAGGAATATGTTCGAAACAAATAATATCATACTACTGTGAACATATTATATCTTATTTATATGTTTACGGTTTTTTTTTTCYMTCATCCATGCGAAAAAAATAAAAAAAACMCTTAAATACATTTTTAGTTCCATTGTTTGGTTGGGAGTAACATTCAGAAGTTAAAGACTTTGGGGAAAACTTTGGGATGATAAGTTTTATTAACCATGAAAACTTATCATAAACTAAAAATAAAAATTTGGTATAAGATATTTATGGATTTGATACTGTAACAATGATATAGTTCAACGGTTTAATTGTAATATTTAAGCATTTAAATATAACAATTCATAAATTTAGAGGGTGATTCAACAAATTAAGAGTTTGAGGTGCAACCTTCCACGGTAGTTTTTGAAACTTTTCCTATAATATTTTTGGTAAAAGAATACTCATCCAAGAAACTCTTACTTTTGGTTTTTAAAATGTTGTAAATTAGGCACACCCAGCACAAACAAATCCAATTAAAAAATAAATTATATAGAAATGTCTAAATTGGTGCGCGAATTTATTATTATTATTGTTTTTTGTCATATTCACAAATTAGACATTAATTAAAAAAAATTTATTTTTTATTTTCGGAGCTTTTACAACATTTGGGTAGAAATTTCAAACTCGAAGGATATATTTTAACTAATTGAATAATTGAATTAAGTTTCTTCAGTGCAACAAAAAAAAAAAAGTTTAAGTTAGATCTATTTTCGTACATTTTTCTGTTAAAACAATAATACCCAATTCACAGGCTACCTGCTGAGTTAATTAATGAATTTATCAATTTGCAAAGATAAGGCCATCTTAAATTCTTCATTTGACTGGACAAAATTCAGATCACTCTTATCTATTAGCAAAACCAATTAAATAATTAATAGTATGACAATTGTTTATAAGTCGAATCAAAATGATTGAAATGACTTGTATGAGTTTTTTATGGGACTTYGATTTACCGTATAATTAATGAATTCTTAGTCTTTCCATCTGAGCTTGGAAACACCTTACATATTTAATTTAATAGCGTTACATTTTATTAGTTCAACTATGGAAAATTTGAGTCTTCATTTTGATTGATGACTTATATTTTAATTTATTAAACTATATTAACAACTATGCTTGGTGGGGTTATTATGTTTCTATTTTTTAGATTTATGTGAAAGTTGAAATATTATTTTAATGGATAACACAATCAATGTGGTTGGTAAAATATGTAGATSATAAAATTTTAAAAATGAATTATGATATATTTTTTGAAGTTTTTTTTTCCTTCATTTATTCATTGGTTAAATTAGACCATTACTTTTAACTAAACCAACTTACATAGTTTTGTTTGTACATGTGAGGGTGGATTCAAACTCAACATATTTTAGTTGGAGATAAGTGTCCTAAATTGTTAGACTATACTTAGATTAGATTGACGAATTAATCTTTATTTATTTTTATTGCATATAAAAGAAATCAAATTTGGTAATTATAGTATTAATTTATTGCATATAAATAATTCAAACTTTTTAACATATTCTTAAGATTTCATTGCCGATAACCATGTACAGAGAAAAACTTTAATACCTGTCTAAAAAAATAAGAAAAAAGAACTTTACTATATACCCAATTATTTTGAGCAAAGGACCTTTAATCACTATATTATTTCGAATATCGATTATTTGAATACTTTTTAGGGACGTAGATTTCTTTTTCTTTTTTTTTTCTTTAGTAAAAACATCGAATACTTTAAAATTATTTACCTTTATAGTAGAGGCTGTGACTTGAGATTTTCAGAATTATTAAATGATTAAAAATAAATAATAAACAAAAGTTAAAGGATTAAAGTAAAATTTTCTAAAAAATTTCCAATCTTAAAAGCGAAAAATAGATTGTGTATGTTTATTCCAACAACTTTCAATTTTGACGATTGTATAACTTATACCATGATACTTATCGACCGTATCATTCTCATTCCTTAAAAACTCATAATTTTTTTTACTCTA